CTGTTCTATTATTTTGCTATTATGTTACTATTATGTTACTCATATTGACAAACCTCCTGTTATTTTACTGTTATTTTATTGTTATACTGCTATTATGCTGCCATTATTTGGTAGATATAAGGTAGAATAATGGCAGTTTTTTTTTTTGTTATTTACCTATTATTCACCCTTTATTTATTCGTTCGACCTGTGTTAGCTTGTGAGTATTTATAAAAGACTTTAGATCTTGTAAATTTAATAGTTGTTGAACTAGTATTATTTTTAACAATATGTTTAACCTTATTAGCTTTTCTGTTGTAAATGCTGTTGCAATTATACATTAAGGTTTTCAATTCTGTAAAGAAGTTGCTATTAATTGTACATTATCAATTGTTGTAACTTTTGATATACAAGATCTATAAGTACTATCAAGTTTTTCAACCATATCTTATACATAATTGATTGGTCATTCACGTCTTTTTTTTACATGAAAAATACTATACAATCTATTTTGCATTAATGCAATACAAAGTTTAGATAAACTGAACCAACTATCACCAATTACTGTATAACTACTACTAAATCATAGTTGTGTTAATCGCAATATATATGCTGTAAAACTATTGTAATTAGAAACAAATCATTTATTTTTTTCAATTTTCTTGTCTTCACAAGGTTCTAATTGAATAATAATATTTGTTAAACTATTGGCAAGAGTTTTCTATTCTTGTTCTATAGAGTATGGTTTTTGTAGAATTTTGTGACAGCCTGGAATTTTATTTTCAGTATCTAATCATGAGTTTATTGACTCATCAATGCATAATATACTTTCAGGAATTACAGCCTCATCTAAGTTTGTATTAAAAGCATTAATAAAACTATAAACTAAAAATAATGGATCATTACTATTAGATATTTCTAATTCATTTGGCATCATTAATGTATGATGCGATACTATTTGTTCAAATCATAGAATACTCATCTAATGCTAAAAATTAAATAGTAATAAAGGATGTGTATCTTGAGTTTTTCAATAAAAATGATGATTGCTCATAGGAATTATAGACATTAACATCCAAAGCCCTAACTAGATCATATACTCATTGATATTTATATTAACCAAATTCGAATTTTTTCTTTTACATAAATTTATAGATTTAATAATGTTTTGTTCAATATAATTCATAGAAAGATATCAATGAAATATAGTATAAGATGAGGCTAAATTAATAGATACAATGTTAATTTTACATACATAGCTATATGTTGGATAAATTGTATGTTGATCAATTTTTACTGATTGTTCTCACTATTTCATTGTTGTAGTTAGGTTAACTTCACTAATGTCACTAATATCACCAGCATTATCTTCCTCTTCTGAGCTATGTTTACTATATTCAGGAAGATTTTGTTGAGTAGTCAAAGTTTCTGCAACTTTATTATTTGAAAGGACTTGTTTTTCATAATGTAAATTTCCTCCACAAATATTTACAACAAAATTTTCATCTCTAACTTTGTCAAACTTTACTTAAAATATATAAGGTACTTTAGTCGATTCTCCTATAACCCAACTATAAAGATGTAAGTTTTTTAAACTTTTATCACTTTGTTGTATATATTGCAAAATAATATTCTTTGATAATACTGTTGCTTTACAACTAACACGTTCTTCAATAACTATTTTATTTGAAATTTATGATATTGTTCAGATATATGTAAAAATGATAAATGAATATATTTTTAAAATTTATATTTTTATAAAAAAAATTTTGAAATATGCAAAAAAATTATATAATTAGTACTTTTGCAATTTCTTATATTAAAATTGCAAAATTGACAATAAAAGTCTCAGGATCAAATAATTATATAATACAGTATTTAAATTGTAAATTCATTAAATTACTATTCAAAATAAAACACACTATTCTCATACTATATAAAAATAATGTAAAACACTTTAGTTTTATGAAATCATTAAAAAAATCAGGTTGGTAACTGAACAAATAATATACCTTTTATATAGATTCTATAAAATCATTTATAAAACTTTACACCTTTTTGACCATAATTAGAAATATATTTTGAGTATAATATAATATTATTCGACTGGTTATCAACCTATTCAAGTTATATAATGAGTTATATAATACCAGTAAGTATAAAGAAGCTTTAGTTTTATCATTTGGGCCAATACAAAATCAAATAAAGTAAAAATATAAAGAAAAAAAAATAAGTAAATAATAAAAAAATTTACATTTTTTTTATATTTTTATTTTTTTTTTTAATTAAAAAAAAATTTTGAATCATTATTTAATATAAAAAAATAGTAGATAGCTTTTTAAAATAACTTTTGTGATGAATATAAATTTTTAAATAATTAGGTTTGCATATATATCAAGATCAAACCTGTATTGCAAATTAATCGCAATATGGTGTTGTATTGTATGACACATATTTATAAGAAATGCTTAAATTATGCAAATAGACTCTATATGTATTACAAATATATTGTATAAATTTTCAAGTGACAGTTGATCATACTTATTGTTTAATTATGATTTTAAATCTGTACTAAATTAAGTATTTTGTACTAAATTTAGTACAGCTTACAGATACCCATTAAAGATAAAGTTTATATAGATCATTTTATTATATAATTTGTATATTTAATTAAAATTTTTATAAAAAATTGAAAGATGTTACTAATAAAACTTTTTATAATTATATTTAATTTTTATTAAAATTTTATAATATATATATTAAAACATACTTTTTACAATAATATAAAATTTAATAATCAAAATATTAAAAAATATATATACTTGTATATATTGTAAAGTTTCTTGATAATTTTAAATTCTTTGTACTTATACAAAATTAGTAATTTTAATTGAGTTATATTATATAATTATTATATAGCAAAAATAATATATAATCTTTAAATACATATTTCTTATTAAATATTTAATCAATTTTAATAATTTTATTATTATTAAAATTAAAAAAAATTTATTCTATAAACTTTAATAAAGAATTAGTTTAAGTCACAGATAAACTAATTTGAGCTTTTACTCTTTTTATAATATTTTTAAAAGTAAATTTATGTTTTATATAAAAATTTCAAATAAATATTTAATAAAGATTTTTTTTTTTAATATTAAGGTGAATACATGCAATCCAGAATTTTATTGATAGTATTAGTTGGCTAACATCTGTTAATATAACTAGTCACTTATACAACTTTAGTCATAGTAGTCTGCTCGAAAGTTCTATACTAGCTGCCATATCTAGAACTCACCTGTAGAACCTTTATTTAAATACTCTAATTCTGTATCTATCACACCTTACCAATGACTCTAGTAAACTAATAAAGATATGCCATAGTCACTAAGTCATATTTAACTTTGTACTAAACCTACCAGTATGTTTTGTATCTTATACTTATAGCTCATCTGGTATCGCTTTGGCCTAAACCATCACTTGTAGTCAAAGCTAACTATTAAACTACTTTTACTCTTGTAAGGTTTATCCAAAACTCTGATACCTATCTTTTCGATATCCTCTTTATTATCTTTTACTAACTGCTACTCAGAACCAACAAAACTCCTTGGACTTACAATTCAGATAACTCAGTATAGTATATCTTAGTATCCTTTCTTTTGGTGATTCTGGCAGTCTGATTGATTATTTGCTTCTTTATACTTCTTGTTATCTGGTTTATTTGCTTATTACTTTGGAAGTGTTTTATAGGCTTTTATCAGTCTAACAATACTATTAAAAATTTTGTGCTATCTCCTTACTTGAGATTTCCAAGTAGGTTTTTGACTCTTCAGTTTCTTCACTTTCTATGCCCAGTGAACTTATTGTAAGTTTGTACTAAAGTCTTATGTAACACTAGTTATTAACATTTCTCTATATTGGTATAACATTACACTTAGCATAAATGCTCCAAACTCCTATTCGAGATGATGCAACTGAAGGTTACAGATACACTAATTCAACTGATCAACAGAAACAGTTACTATAACACAGACCTATTTTCTAAAATTTGTCATCTATAGGATTTGAACTCTAGACTTGCTACTTGGAAGTTAACAACTGGACTATTTTACTAGATCATTACACTCTCAATATTCAATAAAAATAGAGACATGGCCTTACTATTAATATTAAAAAAAAAAACTTTACTAAAAAATCTAAAATAATTAACTTAATAAAATTTTTTAAAATATTAAAAATAAAAAAAATTTACTATTAAGATTATATGAAAAATAATCTATATATATTTTTTTTTAATTTTAAGCAGTTATACTAGTACTTTATTAAGATTCTTGAAATTATATACATTTATAATTACATAGAATTTTCCAATATTTAAGTCTAACATCACTTGGCTACCCTATTGATATCTAAGTACAACCTGTCACACTATCTTAGTTAAAGATAGACTGCTTGTCTAACTACTTAAAGCTGTACCTAGAGTTCCAAATCATTAATTGAAAAACCAACTAATTGGCAACTTTTTAACTAATCGATTTAAAAAAAATTTAAACAACTAATCGATTTATTATCAACTAGTTTAATTATGATTAATTATTAGTTACTAACTAGTTATCAACTATAACTTATATTAATCAACCAAACAACTATTACTATTAATAGCAATAATGTAGCAAAAATTACAATCATTAATTGGTAACTAAAAGTACAAACTAGTTAAATCAGCAAAGCTTATCATCATGCATGTATAGCTTATTTGTAATAACATTTGATTTTATTATTTTAGTACTATTTGTAATCAAAATATGCATAATCTATATTTAAAACAATCTTTTTTTTTCAGATCAGAAAAATAATTTCTTGCTGTTATACAACAAGTATGAGATTAAATAGATATTGTTTGCAATTAGCAAAAAGTGAAAGAAATAATATTAATATAAATCCAAAGGCATAATTATACTAAGATGAGATAAAAGCATCAAGTCTATTTTATTATTGATTTTTAAAATTTAACTGTATTTGCAATTAAAGGTTATAATTATATTAGAGCCATGTAAATAGAAATGCTTAATTCATAAAAATATTGCTATATAAAAAAAAAGGTATATCTAAAAGTCAAGAAATAAACAAAAAGCATTTAAATATTATAAAAATTGTGTGAGAAATCTTATTATTAGAGTGAACATATAAAATGCTGGTTATAGAACTGGTTATAAGCATAAAAGACAATTAAGGTATTTTTTTTTATCATCAAAAAGTTAGCTTTTGTCTCAAAAGAACCTGTATAATATGTAAGTACCTATAATTTGTAAAAGTCAAATATATTATTTATTATTCAAAAATAAAAACTTTTTAATTTTAGATTTTGCCTTGTATGGAACCTATATAAAATATAAGTATTTTAACATAAATATAAGTGTAATAAAAAGGTGTGAGTGCCATATTGATAGCAATATTCAAATAAAAGAATCTACAATAAATAGTTCAAATGATGATGAATTTGATCTATCTGATAATAACAAAGAAAATAATAATAATAATGATAAAGTATTAGCTTAAACATCAATGTCTACTTCAAATTTAAGTCATATTAAAAAAAAAAAAAAAAAAAAAGCCAAAAAGTTTTGTATAACAATTTTTTAAAAAATATAATGCTATAATACTACATTGAATAATCAAGAAAAGGAAGTCAAAAAAGTTCGATATTTGTTTACTGGTTGTAATACAAAGTATATATAGTTAGGTTCAACAAGCAATCAAATAAATTATTTTAGAGATATCTATTATATTACTAAAGAATTACTTGTAAATATGCCAGTAAAAGTTTATTAGCAAACAATTTAGCAAGTAATAATAAAACTCTATTTTTCTTCTATTTAAAAAAACTTGTAAATCAAGTTGTACAATATATAGTTTCATGTGCTTAGCCAATTTATCTTGTTGAAATTAATAATTTTAAACTTTTAATAAAAAGTTTTAATTCTTAATTAAAATGCCATGTATTAGTTCAATAAAAACAATCATATTTAATACTTATAATTTAGCAATAAACCAAATTACAGATCTTCTTTTAGAAACATCTAATAAAGTTTTTTTAACCTTTAAGATCTGGTCTTTATGAGCATATAATAGTTACATCAGAATCACTTGTTACTAGTTTACAGAATCATTTGAGTTACACAAGATTGTATTCGAAATTAGAGAATTAGACAATTATTATACATATAATATTCTTGAGTCAGTTAATTCTGTTTTTGATAAATTTAATATTAACTATCAAAAGATATTTTTTATAACTACAGATAATGATATGAATATCAAGTCAGCAGTGCAACAAATTTGCATTACTAATGTTAAATATGCTAGGCATACTTTACAATTAAGTGTAAATTTAGGGCTAAAGAAAGTAGAAGGGCTTATCTCAAAGTGTAAAATGCTTGTTTCTATTTTGTTAAAAGAAAAAAAAAAAAAGCAACTTTGTGAAACACAATTGCAAATCATCCTGAGACTTAAACAACCATTAGATGTTATTAAAGATGTGGATATCAAATAAAACTTTATCTTTTATTCTATTGAATGTCTTATGTTGTTAAAACTCACTATTATGCAATTATACTTAATACTTAATAATTATATCTTTAAGAAAGTTAGAAAAGAAGTAGAAATGATGAGGTTTTTTCTTTCTTCAGAAGAAGAATTTGAATTATTGAAAAAACTCATTGTAATTATTTCTCCTTTTAATGAAGCAACAGAATTTTTAAGTAAATCTAAATATCCAATACTTGGCTTTATAACATCAATGTTAGAAGAACTTGCATATCAGCTTAAAAACTTTATTAATCTAAATGATGAAGTGATCTTGGTTAGAGACACAATCTTGAAAAATTTGATTAAACAGTAGGAAGACTCAAGTGAGATTGGCATATGCTGCTCCTTCCTTGATCCATGATTTAAGCAATTAAATTTTTGTACTAGAGATTTATATTGCACAATGATCCAACTTATGCATCACAAATTTGATGAATTGCATTTAACACAAATTACTAATAATAATATCACACCAACCAACAATGAAGATACAACTTTAGTATCACATTAAAATAAAAAAACTAAAATGTTAGTATTTTTTTCTTATTCACGAACAGAAAACACTATGCTTAATGAATTTGATTAGTATTGTGAAATACCAAAAAATTTTCTCGATGAAGAACTCTGACCTTTGGTTTAGTAGTATCAATACAAAACTTTCTTTCTTAACTTGGCAATCTTAGCAAGATGATATCTTGCAGTGCCATCTTTCTTTATATCATCAGTATCTTATTTTCTGATATTGAGAACTATGTAACAGATAAGCATACTAGGCTCAATTCAAATTTATTAAAACAATTAATATTTCTTAAAAAAAATATAAGTAGCATTAATATTTTTTTTATTTAAAACATTAAACATTTTACTATATATACTAATTCAATAAGAATTATATATTTTTATATATTGACAGATTTCAACTACATTGTATTATTTATATTTATTATTAAGTCTTATTACTATATTTATATTTTTTTTTTAAATATTAAGGCAAGTACTTGCAACCCAGGATTTTATTGATAGTACATTTAGCTAATGGTTGCATTACAACCACAGAGGGCAACCATGAAAAGAGTATACAACTAGCTACTTGTACAACTTTAGTTATTGTCTAATTTAAGTAGTCCACCCAAAGGTTCTATACTAGCTGTCATACCTGGAACCTGCTTGTAGGTTCCCTATTTAACCACTCTGTTTCTATATCCACCCACCTACCTACACCTACCAAGATGCCCCAGTCGATACTGGTTCAAATATGCCATGGTCACTAAGTCTTTAAAGCAGTTCACTCACATGAGGAACCTTTGACCTT